TTTTTGTGATGTCTGTGTTCATCCTCCTCCCCGTCCATTTTATTTTCCTTTCTTTTCCTCCATACATTTGCTCTTATTCTTCGCTTTATCCAGAGCTTACATTCTACCCTTCTGCTGCAACCCGCTCATCTTCCAACCTGCTCCTTCTCCCTGGTCTTTTGCCTCTAGGTCAAAGAGCCATTCCCCAGGGCTCACGTCTGCACTGAGCATCACAGGGGGCTCAGTGGACAACCAGCTGAAAAGCTCCTGCTCCTTCAGCCTGCCTCTGCTCTTCTCAACTTCGCTCTTCTCCTGCTGTATTGCTGCTCACTGCTCCATGACCTGGAGTCCTTTTGGGTCTGATCACAAGGCAGATGAGTACAACTGCCTGGCTGGTAGAGGGATTTACTCCCCAGCATTACTCATCCCAAAGCTAGCCAAGGGAAGCAGAGATTCGGTGGAAAAGCTGGGGAGTCAACGAATAACATCTGCAGCTGGCATTTAAACAGCTCGTTCTCTCACTTATTCATCCTGATTCATCCGTTTTCCTGTAAATTCACCAGTTGCATTTTTTTTTTTAATATTCCAATTTATTTGTTCTTTTTTCCTCCCTGCATTCATATACTGTCATTATAAAGCTGTTATCACCCTGCAATCTCTCTGCAGGGCCTCAGGAACCTCATCCTTGTTCCTCTAGGAAATCTTCCCTCTGCTTCAGCCCTGCCTCATCTATTGTTTAGGGTTCTGTGTCTCATTTCTCCTCTTGACTTTTCCGCATTAACCTTCTGAAAATGGATTTTATTGTATGCCTTATCCTCTACCTATTCCCAAACCATTGTGAACAGCAGAAGTATAAAATATGTGCAGGCCAGACAGTTAGGAGGCAGACAACCAACAGAGAATTCATGGGTTACATACCTTGCCATACTTCTGTGCATAGGATCCTGTAAGCAGCGAATGAAAAACTATAATTGTTTCATCCAAATCCCAAACAAATACACGCTGTAAAAAGAAGTGGGGACAACATTAATTCACAAAAATGACAAAGCCCCCCTCCCCTTCTCCTGTCACCACAAGGGCCAAAATCAAAACAAGTCTTGTCTTAAACCTTAGTTCATCAAGCAGGTTATCTCTGAATATCATCAGGAACAGTGTATCATACATTTATTGGAAAAAAAGTTAGGACTGTAGCATTTTCATTGTTTAACAAGCTCTTATTTTTCCTTTAACAAATTTTTCAAACTAAGCTGCAAAACACAGATGTCAGAAAATGTGACTATTTATTTAAGGATAAATAGTTCTCTCAGCTATCTCTGCACTAATCTTACTGATTCAAAGCTCTTTTTGTTTCTGCTGCATAGTTAAGATATGCCATACAGAATATACAATGTAAGTAATATTTAAAATGGATTATCCATTTTTTTTAAAAGAATGATCAAATCAGGGATTTGTGTTCATTTTACTAGCACACTATAAAAGAAACAGGAAAATTAAATGTAAAAAGGTATAGTCTCTTCACTCAAAAAGTTAAATGCCTTGAAGGGTAGCAAACGTAGAAAAAATCTAAATAATGTCTGTATGCAATGACACCTAGAGCCAGTGCTTAGCTAGTACAGCAAGTGTAGCCTGTGTAATACCCAGAGATACTCAGTGAACACCCAGGCAGTGAGGCTGGCCAGGCTCCTGGCACTCAGAGCCAGTGTCATGGCGAGAGAAGACACAAGACACACACACACAGACATTACACTCCTGCGATGCCACAACTGAAGTGTTTCACACATCCCTGTGCTAAGCACTTTTCTCCTCCTGTCACAGTCAGGCTGCATCATGCTAACACTGGAGTATTAAGACTATTAATTATTCTGTTGCTAAGAGGTCACCTATGTTTTAATTTGTCACTCAGTATACTAGGCAGACAAATTTCTTTACTAAGGCTCTGATTTTGCACATGAAATATAGCCATTGCTTCCCTGATATGAGCTACCTCATTGAAATGCTTGACATTACAAGCATAAAGGCAAACATGCACTGAAGTGTTTGAAAGGTTATGGCCAGGTAACATTGCGTATTTTCTCTGCATTCATAAATAAACATAATTATGGTGAAAAATACATGAGGCTTCCTCTTTAAAAAAAATAGTTATAACAACTTTGAAGACAAAAGTGTCAGTTTTGTGGTCCTATAGAATGAGAAACTGAAAAAGACCACAGTTTAGGGCTACAAAGCATAAGGATGAATCACATTTATTCTTACATTTAACTTCGTCATACAGAACAGCAATGTATCATTGCAGATGTACATTAAAATTGCCACTAAGATCAGTTATATTCAATTGACAAAAGTGTCAATGCTGTTTTCTGAAAAGCTCTAAGCTGTTTCCACAGCTGTAATTTACAGAATTTACTTTCCATCACAAGAAAGCACCACGTTACCATTCATCAATTCCTACAGGGCATACCTCCAAGTCACTGTCCGGAGGGGGTGATGGATTATTCTTCCGCCCTCTACCCCGGGACTTTGACCCAGAACTCCTACATGTTCTCTCATCGAGATCTTTGATTGGCGTGGAGGGACTCTGTACTGTGTCAAACTCCCCTGTAAAGTCAACCATTCACGACAAAATTAATGACGTATTTTAAAATAAGAAATATACTTTTTTAAGTGGCTCTATTTGGCAACTTGAACACAAGACACACCCTACTAAGTTGTAAGAAAAACAGTGATACTTGATTTGTCTTATGTAGATGGAATTTGCAGATATCACACACACTTCTAACTTTATCAAGGAAATGGTAATAAACCTTGGTAATAAGACAAAAATGACCAATACAGATGTTCAGATGTGTGTACAGATGTGTGTGCATACACATACATGAGTATGTGCAAAACATTGATAAATCCATAGGAGATGTATTTTACAAGCCATATTTCACACATTGCAAACACATAATGAAAGACGTATTTAAAAGATATAGAAGTCCTGAATCAAAGATGGAATAAAACATGCAATAGCAGAGGCTGCTGACTGTCAGTATCGGCTCTGCACAAAGGAGCCTGAAGATCTTGCTGGATTCATCCTGAACATGGGCAGGAGTTCAGGAGAAGTGTTTTCTTTCTTCCTTTGTTTCTTTATTTGGTACCAATCCTCAGTGAAGCAGGAGGAAATTAAGTCTGTACCCCTCACTTCCTGGGAAAGTAACCTAATTATTCTGCTACTGCTAGAAGGAGATACTGTTATTTTATTCTCTTGCAAAATCAGTATGCTGCTTTGCTTATGCAAGACAGACCTAAACTTTAAGACAGCATAAGAAGAGAATTTAAGAACTGCAGCTTCTGAAAGAAACCAGTCTTACTCCACTAGGTAGATATTTTAGGTAGATATTTAGATTTGGAGATGATTCATATGTATTCCTTAGTGTTTTATCTTTAATCTATAACTCTCATTTGCCAAGAAATGATGAGGAAAATGCATCAATTTTATTTAATAATGTTGTAATGAATAATCATACTGTGGTGGGGAATGGAGAGAGGGAGTTCTTGATGACTAATCACTTCTATTCCCAGCATGGTATTGATGTCAGTAAGGACACTGCAGGCACTAGAGATCAATAAGGTCACATTATCTTAGCTCTTTCTCTATAAAGGGAACAGTAAAATATTATTTGAATAGAAAGATGTTTCAAAAATAGATTTCCCGTGCAGCAAAAAATGAGACTTATGTGAAAAATTATAATTTTCTAGTTTTTCTGACAAAGTGGAAAAGAACTCCAAAACAAAACAAAAAAAACCCAGAAACCAAAATAAAAAATTAAATTACTGAGCATGAATTATTTCATTCTTACCACAAAAGTTCTCATATTTATAAAATTTTACCATCTTACAGCACAATCAAGACTCATTTATATAGTAATGCATTAAAACATCTGTTCTCAATGACTATGTTTACTCTACTCTACAAAAAATAAAATATAACAAACCCCTGTTCTAAATCTTCTCTGAAAGTATCTAACAGCTGAAGTAAATAACTTTAATTTTCATTTAGCATTAGTCATCCCCAGTTGCCCCAGGCTTCTACTTGGATCAACACTGTACATGATTGCATAATTATCCATTAATCAGTACTGTAACTAACCACCGTACCTTGTCAGTTCTAGATATTTAAAGCCAACTTTATTTCATTAAGCAAATCTCTAAAGCCAAATAACCAGTTGTCTCTTACTTGAATGCAAGGTATGTATCTATTTTAGAACTGCAGCAGTCAGTAGAGCATGTTCTTGAACAGCTATAGACTTAATTGCTTAATTTGCTTTTTTATCAACAGCAGGCTAAAGGAGTAACTGCATTTTTTTATTCTGAGTTTGTTTTCAAAAATCTGATAGTCAATGCTGGTAAAAGAAAAAATTTTTAAAAGTTGAACCATGTATATCATAAAAAAGAATACATGAGAAATTCTAGCACCAGATAATACTGAAAATCCTAACCTCATAATTAATTCCTAAAGCAGCTTGTATTAGACAGAAATTTTTATTATGATGTTTGAAATTTTCTATCTTTTTCGACATGCAACATTCATATACTTCACGAACGTCACTTTCTATAAATATGGCAGAGTCACAGATCCAAATAAATAGAAAGGAAAATGTTAAAACTTGAACATATGAAGCTCCTTTATCTAGTTTCCCTGCGAACCTCCTTTCTCTGCTAGAATTTTACCTGCTCCAGATTAAACCCATGTAGGTACTCATCACCTGAGGCAGAATCCCTTAAAAATTCATCTGACATCCTAGGACGGAAAGAGCTACCATTGAAGATACCTATTTGTCGGCACACAGATGCCTTCTGTTAATTTTGATTTTTTTTTTTTTTTAGGACAGGTATGTGAAAAGTCATCCACAGAAAGGTTCAGAAGCAGGACCCAACACCGATGTAGACTGGATGAACTCCCAAACTCATCCTACACCCCTTTATGATTGACTTTTCTTACATATTTCTAAAGCCACATGATATCACAGGGAGCAGCCAGAAAATGGCTTCAACACTTTTTGCATCTGCTTATAATATTTCTTGCTTGTTATGAGTAGCAGACAGAATAGTATCTTTTTGATTTTTTTTTCCCAGCCAATAAATAACTGATCTTTAACTCTAGAACTGATGAGGGTCAAAACAAGAAATGTTGTATGTGCAGGGAATATTGGAGGCTTTGAATTAATAGTCAGCAGATATAGTAAAATAGTGAAGTAACTTACTGTGTTTAATTTTAGGTTTTAAGCTAGTCTAGTCCTGCAACTGTTAAAATTTACCTTGATTATAATTTACCTTTTAGTTTTCTTCCTCTTCAGTTTGCACTCCGTTCTGACACATACTGATTAACATTTTAAACTTTTATCAAAAACACAGGAATGTGTATCTCTCCACATCCATACCATACTACAGCATCCCACAAACACTCAATTTAAAAATCAGCTTGAGAAAAACATCTGGCAAGAAAGAAGGTCAGTTCATTCAATTAAAGTTTTAAAAGTTTTTAGCAAATTTAAGCAGTTGAAAGTAGGTTCTTTATGAATTATGAGGTCTTGCTTACAGCTTTCTAGGCCAGGTAAAACCCTTCCTTCGTAAATATTCAGTATTATAATACAGCACTTTTTCCGCTCTACTTTTTTGGTGATATGGGTCAATTGCTAGCATGAGAATTGGGAGGGTTTCTGCAGTGAGTGGATTTTGTGATTAAAGCATGATTTTCTTATTCAAAGCCTGATCCAAAACCCACTGCAGTTTGTTAGTCTTTTCCTAAATGGTCACAGATGTGGGGAAGGCCGACATTACCAATGCTGTACGAAGGAAGCAGTGGCCTTAGAAGAAAATGTTCTACTAGCCCTGTCCTGGGCTGCTGGAGACACACATATATGACACAGTACTGAGCTAGATCTTAAAGAACAATACAAGATAAAGCAGGCTCTATTAAGGATACCACATTAATCTGGCTTTGTACTTTTAAGTTCCCAAAGACACACAATTGTGTAACAAAATATCACAACGGATATGCACAAGGGGGCAGAGTTGGGCAGGCAAATTTCGTCATCTGAATCTGAGAGTCTTCTTTTGCAATTTCAAGTCTTTTTCAAATAGGTTATTTTTAAAGAGACTTGTCTTAATAGCTAATAGTTCTATTCTTAGTTACCTCTTAGTAAGCATGGCTTGTGTTTAAAAAACATTTTTTTAAAAAAGCACATGTACTCCTGTTGGCATAATTGGAATATAATTAAATGTGCACTGCATTTTGTTTTAAATTATTTACCAAAATATTTCAGAATTTGTAGGTGGATATAGTAATGTCACACTGTCTGTGCTTTACTGAGCACTTTTTATTGCATGCTAGTTTTGGGTACTAAAAGATCCCTATCAGGATATTTTGACTACTCCCTCCACAAATAACACTTAATTTGCCAAGAGTTTTATCAAACTAATAAACAAACTATGCAAGTTTCTTAAAACAAAAGAGAACAGAACAATTTATTTTTACTGGTTTCCTTGAAAAGTAATGATGTTTTCTGGAAGGCACCAGCTTAAAATGTCAGTATTCAGGCTGAATATAGTATCATCAAGGATAATGGACAAGGAAATGTGGGAGTTTCACAAGTACAGTATAAAATTCAAAAATGGTTTTCACCTGAATGCAGATCTGTACCTGGTTGACTAGTCAGGCCAGAGAGAGACTCCTGTAACTGGTAGGTTGATGATGATGAAGAGGTGCCATCGGCCGTGTTGTTTGAGGTCATATATGCGCCATATGTTGATGCTGAATAATACTGTGCGTATTGGTTTTGGCCAAAAGTTGTGTAGGATGGATAATCCTAAAATAGCAAATGTAGTTAACTAAATAGAGTAACAGATTACTTTTTCCATTAAGAAATCCTAAGGAGTTTTATTTTTGGTTTAGATCTATCAACTTGAGGAGGTTTATTAAAAGACCACTAAGAGATTCCCAACACATTTATGTGCCAAGAGACACAACAAGCCATCCATTGGGTTTTCCATTGCTGCTCACCAAAAACAGTACTTAACAACAGTGAATCTAGTTCAGCATTAACAGATCCAAACTAAAATAACACGCCATCATCAGAGTTAAATGAGTATTTTTGTAATGTACAAACAAAAATATTGATATTCATACCTGTTGTGAACTACTGAAGTTTGTAGAATTTGAAACTGAATTGTTTGTATAAATAGTGGATGATGGTGTAAAACTAGAACCTAAAATTTAAAAATATATAATTAATTTTAAGAACTTGTTTATGAATCAAAGTAAAATTCTAAATATAATACTCCATGCTAAGACACAGATAAATCAGAGGAGAAAAAACTTATACTTTCAATTTAGATGACAAAACACTGCAATGAATTATAGAAGACATGAAATGCTACATCCAAGTAAACAAACAGGCACACATTCCTTTTCATGCTGTTTAAGCAAGTATTGGCAGTAGGTCACTACACTGATCAAAAAAGAATTTTTCTGATTATTACAGTCTCACCTCTGTTCAGGTCTTTTTTCTTTCTCTTTTTTTTCTTCTTCATTTATGAAGCTCATGCATTTTAGTGCATATTCACTTACAAAACCAAAAAAACCTTTTTTTAAGAGTATTTTAATAATCCAGGTGTTTTTAATAGATCTGCAGTGAGGCATGTCCATGTTCTTGACATGTCAGATGATTAATATGGTCATTTGTATTACTTAAAAGATTAACTGTCGCATTAGAAACTAAGAAAGCCTCCAAATAAAACAACGCACTGATGATCAAAAAGTAATAAATGAACTAATAATTGACTAATAGAGGAAAATAAAAATACAAATTAAGAAGAAATTCTAATACATTATTTAATCCAAAAGGAAACAAGTTTCAAATGATGTCACATGGCATGTGTTCCCTAATAAATAAAAAATGCTTCCAGTCCTGCTGTGTGATTTCATCCCATAAAAAACTCAAAGTGCAGATGGAACTGCACTGTATGACTAGATCTAAATCAATAGATCTCCAAAAAAACCCTCATTCATGAATATTAGTCATGGAAACACATTCTGAGCCTTAAATTCTAGAAGCAAAAGTAACTGCAAATTATACATTTGTTAGAGTTCACAGAAAATGAACTGAAAATGGACTGTAAATATGAGTGAACAGCAGGCCAGCAACAGTAGTGCCTTTTTTCATTTCCACTGATATGACTGGAGCAATGATATTCTGTCCCACCTGCTAGTTGAGCATTTCTCTCTGTTCAGTTTTCACCAACACTGAGGTTGAAACATGAGTGCTGCCCAAGTCACACACAAACCTACTGGCTCGAACTGCCAGCATTACATTTCCCTTTTTGCTCTGCAACAAGTTTTCAAATGTTTTTAGCAAGTCTGCATGTGGTGCTCTTCAAATGTGAGCAGAATTTTATCATATTACTTTCTTTTTTAAATCTATCATTGAGATACATGCTGCTGTTTAAAAAATGCTAAAGATGAGATTTTTCAAAATTATTAGAGTCCTTAAACACACCATTGGCACCTTGAAGCATTTTCAGGTACATCAGAATAAGATACCTAAATTCCACCCAAATCAATTGGAGTGAATCAGAGTTAGGTACCTCATGTTTAGATATTTTGGAAAATGCTATTAAATGCTCATTGGCCTCTTTCAGATACCTTTGAATATATGTATTTAGAGATTACACTCGAGTATTCTGACACAAAGCCTCCTAGGAAAAAAAAGGATGGGAGGACACATGATAGCGATGGATACTCACCTGGCATTTGGTAAGTATACGGTGTTTGGCCTGGCTGTGGGGTGGAAAACCCTGGACTGTAACTGAGGCACCCGCTCTGCAGTGGTGACTGTGTTTGCGAGAGCCCACTTTCCGTCTTGATGCCTGGCAACATTACACCCAAATCTGTGTGAGAAATCAATTTTCAACTGATTCTTTAAAATATCTTCTTACAGATGGGAAAAAAAATAAAAAAAATAAAAAAAGCAAGGAATGCTCATGTCAGCATTGCTCTTACTTTTATATAAGGTGAAGTAAATAATAAAAAGGTCAAATACCATAGGTAGGTAAGCTGTATGGCTGTCCTGTCTGAGAGTACGCTGTATACACCGCTGGCTGCTGCATTCCTGAATACTGGGTTTGTCCGGCATAGGCAGACATTGTTTGAGCTGCTGGTGTAGAAAGAATGTGTGGATAGGGCCTAAATATCAGGAAAAATAGCATTACTGTGGCAACAAATACTTTGTATGTTGATTCAAGAAATAAAGTAAAGAAAAAGGTTCAGAGATTTCCAAAGGCAGTTCATTACTCTGCCAACTGTTCTTCTTATGGGATTCGTTCCATCCCCCACTGAAGCAAGCTGAAAACCACTCTAGTTCACATTCTCCTAAGCACCGTATGTTTTTTGTGCTGTCCCATCACTACAGTTTAATTCCTGAGCTATGTGTCCAGCTCCAGTTAGACTGTGCCATTGCTAACATGGCTTTGCATGACTTTGACCCCTTCAAGCCAAGATCAGCAAGCTTAAATCTGAAAAGATCTCATGCTTTTTTAATCTAGTTGGGGGGAAACTTGACCCAACATACAGGAGTGGAAGAAAAAGAGAATTCAGAGGTGAACTTTACAGCTACTACATTATGTCCTGTAGGTATGGTTCTGCTTCAACAGAAATCTAGCATCTGGCTTTGGTGGGAGATGGATCACGCTTATCGAGAGTAGCATGAAAAATATTGACAGCAATACTTTGGTAACCAGATGGACTTTCACCATTTGGAAAATATGGGCTAAGGAACTAGAATGGAAATAAAAATGGTCTTTTATTTATAAATACTGAGGTTTTATAGAGAGATTGAGTAAAATCAAGTTTAAAATTTTTGCCCTCCAGAGTCGCAAAAACATACAGAGAAACATTTGTCTTGGATTGTTTTGTAAGTCAAATAAGATTTTATGGACCAAGAGTTGAATAAACACACTCTGCAGAATTATGCTAACTGAAACCTGGCCATTAAAAGCCATGACTAAATTTCAGATTCTAATTTATTTTTCTTTTTTTTTTCTTTTTTTCTAATTAGTTCAGTACAGTTGGCAACAGTTAATACCAGCAAAGGATTACTCATTAATTTAGATGCCAATAAATTTACAGTAGATTAAAAATTCTTCTAAACCTTATAATGTATCTGGCCAAGAGTACCTGACATGGTCAGCCAAAACTTGTTTTAAATGGAGTAAGTAGGACTGTTCTTAGTTCAGGAGTTTACTTTCTGTATCTTGGCTATATCAAGATACAAATACAAAATTTCTTAAAGAAAACTGCAAAAGTCTAATCAGTTAAAGCTTCAGTGTTTTCTCTGTATCAAATTTCAAACTCATTTAAGTAGGTCGATCAAATATGCAGAAACAAATAAATGGCATACTGAAACCAAGCACCCTTATGCACAACACTGATCATAGGACATGCAAATAAATGTGCATATAGACTGCCAACAACAGAAGTATCATATAACGTCCTCAGTGCTATTCATTAAGTTCCTACTCCTGGATTCATGTAACTGGCTAAGAGACTTTTCCTTCAAACAAAATGAAAAAAGGTCCTAACAATGCACACTGGTTTAAAAGTCATAAATCAGATTAAAAGGTAATCCAATTTTATTTATTTGATTTTAAAATCTTTTGATATTGGAGAAAGAAGAGGAAAGTCTGTTTCATAGCCCTGACATTCTCGGAAGTACTTGGCAGTGTTGGTGCTGGGAGGGTCTATGTGTGCATGGCTACCTTTAATTATGCATTTTGAGCTTGCAGTTGCAATTTTTATGTATTAACTGTGTTCTTTAACATGTACGTTGTCAGCACAGTGAGCATGCTGATATCTGAGAAGGGGAGGATCTATTTTTCCCTCCAGGTCGTGTAGAACCTCAAGGATACCTCTTGTGCAGTAATACATTGTTGCACAGAGTAGGATTTTACTCTGCAACCATGTGAGAAAAAAATTGAGAGTGAGTGGCAATGCAGTCAGTACCGAGGCTTAACCATTTTCTTCTCCCTTTTTTTCTTCTCTTGAAGAACATTTAGTTTCACCAAAACACAAAATTGCCTAAGGCCAAGATCAAATCCCTATAAAGGCTAGAAGAGGTTCAGACACTAACTTGGAGGGATATAGCTGAGAAGAGTACTGATGTGCTGATCTTGGACTGTAGCCGCTACTCGTTATTACTGCAAAACAGAAAACAAGAGTACAACACTTAAAAATATCATGAAACATAGAAAAACATTTTAAATACTAATAAGGTCTAATACTAATTATCAGAAAATGTCCTTGAAATAGAAATCTTTTCAATAAGACCTGTGACGACCTCTCAATACAAAAAAAAAAAAAAAGTAAATCCATAAATTATTCATGTTGTTGAGAACTTTTTCTTAATATCAACATATACCAGTTTTTAAGCATGACTTGTTATTTATGGATATATTATAGAGATGTATGCTTCATGCATAATCTGTGATACACTACAGACCTTTGAATTTTGCAAGTTGCATTAAAATTGTTGCTTAAAAAGAATCTTGTCATTCAACATATGGTACTACATGGGATTGAAATAGCATGAATAAAAGTTTGAATTCTTGCATTAACAAATTTAATTTCAACACTGGGCAGGAAAAACATGTCTTGTCAGAATGCAATTCCAGCAGTGATGCAAGATAGCAGACTGACTCTAGCAGCTGCCTAGAAAACAAACTTCGCTCCTTATAATAAGACAGGTTAGAATACAGGCACTAACAACAATATTTTTATTTCAAATGTAAGCCTAAATAGTCCTGTACAGTAGCCATCAAAACTACATATGTCTATACTATTAACAGCTGCATTCTTCCAAGAAAGCTAACAGAATGATAGTCATATCCCATTAAAATTTCATTCAGAAGCAGAGCTCACGCTGGATTAATTCCAAGTGTTTGGAAGTTTCTCTTTCCTTTAACCATCTGTCTTGACAAAGACAGATGTATTCCAAATATATATAGTCTAAAGTGTTGAACCAATCCCTTCAGAGCAAATCCATACTGGGCAAACATACAGAGTGTCTTTATTAGGCCATCTGCTGTTCATTCACTTTTCAAAAGATTAAAGTAGAACACAATGAAGCCCTGGAATTTCTTTAGTCTAATCAATCATAGTTGTACTTCAAAGTATACTCTCTTCCTGAGTTGTTTGTAATGGTAGTAGAAATGAACTTTCAGAATTATGTAAGTGACAAATAGGTTTAAGTTCTTAACTATTTTATGAAACATGATATATTTCTACATCCAAGTCTAGCTAATGTCTCTGCACATCACTGCACATCTTTTGCTTTGAACACACGCAAAACTCCATATTTTTAAAGCTAGTTTAAATACATTTAGAACACATAGGCATCGAAAAGAAAATACAATAGAAGGAAAACCATTAGCTTCTTTTTTAAAGATGCGGGATGTACGGCCTGAAAATAAAGAACTAGATAATATTTTTTTAAACATATGCCATCAGATTTCATACAAAGATACTGAAAAGATGGCTTTCATACAAAATGGCTAAAAAGATATTAAGAGTTTTCCTGTAATGGAAATCTGCTAAATTTATATTCTCCATGTGGATGTTCTTTTTGACAATGCCTTTCCATGGTTTAAGCTTAATTTGTTGAGCAAGCCACTAAGTGTGCATAAAGCTGTTATTGGATACAGGCAAATTTCAGAGCTGCACACATCAACATAAACAGCCCATAAAGCTCTAAAAGCTCTTATCTGTTCAGTTCTAGAAGAGCATCTGCTCTTCCCTGTTGCATCACTGCGACCTTTCTGAAGAAAAGCAACTTTGGCGATTTCTCAGGGCAAGGAACTTGCAAGATCCGTTTTCAGCTTATCAGTTTTTTCTAATCATAATGATGCCCTTTCTGCGTATCATTTGCTGAATGACTGATCAGTCGATTAATCAGTTTGGATAACGAACATCTACTATTCTCTTACAGCTAATATAAACTATAGAAAATGACTTTTCAACTAAAATGAGTTATGAAAGATGAATGTTTTTCAGCAAAAATCACAATACAATATAAAATACGCTCTGTTTTTACTCTTTACCTATACACATTATTACATAAATTCAGACAAGAAAATAAAGTATTTTTGGAAATGTATCTAGCTTTAAAAGTTTCTATTTCTTTCAGGCTTCCTAATAACACTACCAGTTGTAGGCAAGAGATCTTTCAAGTGAAAAAAGTCTTTTCCATTCTCTCTTTCTGGTAACTTGTCACACCAATTTGTGCACAACATTTTAGACTTCAGATATTCAGAAAACATGGTGAGTAACATCAACCAATGGAGAACACTGTGTGCAGTGTAAAGTCTTTGAGCTGATCCTGTGTGCCATAGCTTAGACTGCCAACTCCAAAGGTTATTAGACTTAAAGAGATTTCACTGATGGTTATCTTCCTAATCCTACTTTGCTTTTGGTGGGGAGGGTTGACAGTGGAAGAGAAGGTAGAGGGGGATTGCTATGTTTCTTATAACTATACTACCTTATATAAACGTTTTTAAAAACAGGGCTAGATGCCATTTTAATATTTTGAGCATTCTGAAAACGAAACTGTCACACTGTCCTCTGAAAAGCTCAAATACTTCTATGAATACATTACGTAAATTTTCCAAAGGTTTGGTCTTGTGGGTAAGGTAAAAGATCCTTGATTTCTCAGTACAAATCCATACAATTGCACACTTCCAGAACAAATATTTTAGTTCATGTGTGCTGTGTAGGGGCATGATAGGGATGTTTGCGGCTAAATTCCCTTTTTTACTGAGTCTACTTTCTCTGCAAACTGCAGTTCCTGGATGATGTGTTCCCTGCAGGGTTTCTGCACCCTCCAGCTGTGGGGAAGTTAACAGTTTCTGAGAAAAAACATACAAGGTGGAGATTCAGAAATGTGAATGAGGGATTGGTTGGAGGACAGATGTGTAAGGGACAGTGCCTTGGACTGGAGGTCTGAATACAGGGTTGGAAATGGAACAAGGCATGAAGGTACTGGCTGAGAAAACTGCCTACGATGGCTGTCTGAGATGGAGAAACAACAGTTGTGGATAGAACAGGACAGATGTGGAAAAAAAGCAGCAGTACCTGTGCCTCTGAGGCACATTGCCAGCTAGAGCCTGTCAGAGCTGAGGCTCAGGGTGTATTCCAGTCCCAAATAATGTTGGTCTGCAGAGGAGATGACAAGGTAACTGTCAGCTCTTAGCAGCTATGTCACTAGCTCAAGAGGCAAAGGTGGCTGTGAAGAATTCATATGACCGTACATCGTGCTGATGGCGAGTGTTGAATTCCATATAGTCACATGCTGGAATATCTTATCTTTCCATTACACATATGGAAAACTCTGTGCAAAGAGGCTAAGTTAAAAGGATCTAATTTAAATAATGAATCACAACGTATAAACACAAGGTAACCAAAGGTTGCGCAGCAGTGACATTTCCTAAAATCACCTTTATATCCTTCGTATTTCTTTTTGATATTTGTGTGTAATAAATTCTAAATAGAAAGGATGATGGGAACTTCAAATGTCTCTCTCGCCTCTATTAAAATGATAAAGTTCTCAGACTAATCCACTATTCTAAGCAACTTAAGTATAAAAATGCATGTGTTAATGATACTTGATGATGATTAATGATAGTTAAATTCAAAACGTATGAAAATGTTCGGTTTAAGACTCTTTTGCAGTTCTCCACATCCTGTAAATATCCACCCCAAAAAGCATTTACTACAGGATCACAAAGACTCAAATCATAGAATCATAGAATCACAAAATCATTAAGGTTGGAAGGGACCTTTAGAGAACATCTAGTCCAATCCCACTGCACATGCAAGGTCACTTAGAGCATGTTACACAGGACTGTGCCCCAAGCGGGTTTTGAAAATGTCCAGAGAAGGAGATTCCACAACCTCTCTGGACAACCTGTTCCAGTGCTCTGTCACCCTCACTGCTAAGAAATTCTTCCTTAAGTTCCTGTGGAACTTTTGGTGTTTCAGTTTGTGGCCACTTCTGCTTGTCCTATCAGTCGCCATCACTGAAAAAAGGCTGACCTCATCCTCCTCACTCCCTCCATTGAGGTATTTGCATACACTGATCAGATCCCCTCTCAGCCTTCTCTTCTCCAGGCTGAACAGGCCCAGCTCCCTCAGCCTCTCCTCATAGGGCAGATGTTCCAGGCCCCTGATCATCCTTGTGGCCCTGCACTGGACTCTCTCCAGCAGCTCC